TAGCCATCTCAAAGCTCGGTGGTCGAGCGCGAGAATGGGCACTGACGTTCGGCACTTCGGTCAAAGCTGCGTTTCCCTCCTGGGTGGAGCTGAAATTGCAACTCTTACGAGTGTTCTCGACGCCTCATCGGGCATATCGCGTGAGATCGCGTTTCCTTGCCGCCCGACGGGGCAACGAGGAGTTGGTGGACTTTGACCAAGAGTTGCGAACTCTCATTGTCGGGATGGCAGCAGATCCCCTTCCGGAGGCGGTCACAGTGACCGTCTTGATGGAAGGCCTCCGCTTTGGCGTGGCCAGAATGGAAGTCTTCCGTGTGCATCCGTTCTCATTTGAAGAGGCGGTGAATATGGCACTGAATGCCGAATTTAATTTGTAGTGGGCACCACTTGGTTGCAGTGCACACTCCAACAGCTCGTCAAGCGGACCTATGCCCATAGATTTCAGCTATGCTGAAGACGAGGGAGCAGAGCTCCGAGCTGCTGAGCAGCACGCAAACACACGACGGTAATTTGGCTGTGGAGACACCCGTCACCTGCGGAGCGGTTGACTCCTGCGCAAGGCGCGTAACGGTTCTTCAAACTATCGCCTTAAAACCTACCAGTCTGGTTCGTCGCGGGGAAACGACACCACTATGTAGGCGCGGGGCGTCCTACTGGGGGATAACTGAGTTTTGTTTAGCCTCAGAGAGGCAAGGGGTCAACACAACCCAGTCTCGAAGAGATCCGTGCTCTTGAACGCGAAACGTGTTTGCAAGCCGGGCTTGCTGGTCGTGGAGGCGACCGAAAAGGGCTTCGAGAGAAGCCCTGAAATATCCTCATCGATTCTGGGGCGTCTGTCAATAAAGCTCGACGCGCCACGATAGAAGGAAGTCAGCTGTATGTTGAGGCGCTGAAAGCGCGGTTGGGTGACATCGTCTTTGTTCGCTTAGCGACGGAGACACATGTCACTGTCTTGAGTGTCCCTGTGGACCTCGGAGTCAAGTTCCTTGACTTTGATAGCGTAGAACGCTGTCTGGTTAGACTTGAATGCAAGGTATGACCTCATCCTAGGAATGGAATGGTTGGACACCATGAGCCATGGTTTGATTGGAGGCCGAAGACCTTGGGCTTTACACCATGAGCCATGGTTTGATTGGAGACCGAAGACCTTGGGCTTTACGAGCACGTCTCTTGGTGGATCTTTAGCGAGTCATTTAACCACCTCTGCTAGGAAACAAAACCGCTATTGGCGTGAGCACTGGACCGAGACGGTCAACGTGCTAGACATTGGAATGTCCAAGTTGGTAGACATCAACGGTGTAATGGACAGGAGTCCCGAGCGTGGCTCGCAGGCTGATCGTGGAGTGGCACGTCGCCCACTGAGCGCTCCTCGAGTATCA